TTGGGTGGGGGGAGGGGAGAAGTATGGGAAAGGATGGGAAGGGGAAACAACGAGGAGGCAACAATACTTGATAAGAAATGTACTCGTTATCTTGCCCATGTAATTGTAACTTCTTCTCACAATACAAAAAAAGGTATGATATTGATCTGTTGGAAGACACATTTATTTTTTCCATACTTTGGCTAGGATGAGTACAGCTACAATAAACATAGGGTACAGATACCTCTTTGAGATACTAATTTTATTTTCTTTGCATATATACTTTGAAATGGAATTTCTGAATTATGTAATAGTTTTGTTTTTATTGTTTCAAAAAATCCTCCATGTTATTTTCTATAATGACTATAACAATCTACATTTCCAAAAATGATATACAAGAGTTCCTATTTCTTCACACTCTTGCTGAAAATACTATTCATGGTCTTTTTGATAGTAGCCTTCATAACAGGTGTAATATTTCATTATGGTTTTAATATTTTACTCTGAGCATGATATTGAGAGCTGCTTTCTAATTGTATACCTGCTTTCCAATTGTATGTCTTCTTTGGAAAAATGTCTATTTGTGCCATTTGTAAACAAGATTTCTTCTAACTTTTTTCAATAATTTACATAGGAAATCAAATAAAGCTGATAAATAACTATATCATTAAAATGTTTAGGATAGATGAAGTCATTGGGAGTACTACAGACAGAGTATTTAAAAATAATAAAACACATGTGTCTACCTGTGTAAGTTAAGGAGTTATGAGGCTGAGAATGATGAGCTGAGAGGATTGGGGATTTAAGCTCTTCCTGATATCAAAGAATGGTTTAGACAGAAGACAATTGGAAGGAATGAAATATATAATTAGAGATGATAAGTATGTATTGTAAGTAGTTGTTTCCATGTCTGCTGGCTCCTAGACTGCAAGAACATGCACTATTCATTTTAACTTCCAAACATATAACGCAGGGTCTGTAACAATGAACAAATAAAATAAGCTTCTTCTTGGATTTACCACCAATTCTGCCTCCACGGATAACAGTACTTATATTTTTGTTAGCTCCAGTGCAATTGCTAATTACAAGCACATAGTGTAGCATGTTGGGGATGGTTTGCAACCATCAACACATGCTGCAGAAGATGGTCACTACTAGGATAAATTAATATTTGTAAAGAGCTTAAAAGAGTGCCTGTTACATAGGGATGCCATCTAAAGTTTGTTAGATAAAGAAAATACTTAGAATGCTGGAGCCAGATTGTGAATGTTCCATGGTTGATTGGTTTGGTATTAGGATTAGCTATGTGTTTCTCAGTGAAAGATAAAAATCATTATATTCTACTTCATCTCTCTATTGCTTACACAATGGGTCTTACCAATACCCAAAGCTTCTTATAACAGGAAGCATGATTTAAAATGTCAGAACATTAATGAAATTTATATTGATGATATAGTTTTAATTAGATGATGGGACCAAACCAACCATAATCAATATTTTAAAAAGTCTGAGAAAAACAGAACACTTAATTGTAAACATAAAACAAAAAATATATATTGAATATAGACGAGGCAGATTTACCTGGCAGGCATCTACACGTCCTTGTAGGAACCCGGCACACAACATTCCAGGGGTGATGACTCCACCATATACTTTTCCACTGTTGCATGTCTTAATATCTATAATCTTCACTGATGCTTTTTGGAGTATATTAGGAGTTTTTCCTAAAACAAAAAATTACATTGCATTATTTGTTTTACTAAAATTCAATTTTAGTTTTTCTAGATAGGTCATTAATATCTGAACTTAGCACTTTCAATTTCTAAGTCGATGTAAAAATATGTTTCTTAAGTGAACTTAATGTTTTCTCCTTACATTGTAATAAAGAAGCAAACAGTACTTATTGACACTTTAAGCTATTGTTAAACAGTGTCATACTTAGAAATACTTAATGCATATAGCCAAATGTAATGGGCCTTTAACTTAGCTTAGAATTTTATATTTATAAATGTACTCCTTAAAATAATAAAAAGTTCATAACATGGAAACATGCTTCATGGTTGTTAGCTAAATTTGTTACTGTAATTCTTCACCCTGGAATTAATTTAGATATTTTCAAAAGTATTTTATGAGGGGTCTGGGAAGGTGTTTTAGTGGTAGAGTGCTTGCCTAGCATGCATGATATCCTGGGTTCGATTCCTCAGCACCACATAAACAGAAAAAGCTGAAAGTGGCTCTGTGGCTCAAGTGGTAGAGCGCTAGCCTTGAGCTGAAGAGCTAAGGGACAGCGCCCAGGCCCAGAGTTCAAGCCCCACAACCAACCAAAAAAAGTATTTTATGAACTTAAGTAGCCATTGCATTATTAAGGTTATGATGCCCCCCCCACATACTCATATACAATCTTTACTCAATTAAGTATTGCATCCTAACCAGGAGTTTCTTGTTTTGTTTGATTAAAATGCTTTATCCATCTTGGATCAAGGGTTCACATCTATACGTTTACCTACTCTGGTAAGAAAAGTCCATAAAAATCTGTCTTTAACTAACAAAAAGCCATACTAGAGGCATGGCTCAACTGGTAGAGTACCAGTTCTGAAACCCTGACTTCAAGCTAGAAAGACAGAAAGGAAGGAAGGAAAGAAAAAAGGAACAAAGAAAGAACAAAACAATCAAGCCAAAACAGTTCACTCTCCCAAATTCCCACCCCTTGGTATAAAGCATAATTTATAATGCTTAATTTATAACTTACTTATTTATAAAACTTAATTTATAATTTACATGTTTCTTACATTTTGTGATTATTATTATTATTATTTTTTGTCGGTCGTGAGGGACAGCCTGGGCGCTGTCCCTCAGCTCTTTAGCTCAAGGCGAGCGCTCTACCACTTGAGCTACAGCACCACTTCCGGTTTTCTGGTGGTTTATTGGAGATGGGAGTCTCATGGTCTCTCCTGCCCGGGCTGGCTTTGAACCGCGATCCTCAGATCTCAGCCTCCTGAGTAGCTAGGATTACAGGCGTGAGCCACCAGCGCCCGGCAATTTTTTGTGATTATTTTTGTGATTATTATATATGGATGAGCAGACAAATGAAGTGGATCAACAAATATTTGTAAAAGCTCCCCTTGTTAGGAAAATTATGCTAACAGCTCTTGGAAATTGTAATTACTGCATTAATGATCCCAAGGGTGATTTTCAGTCCATTATACATTATTCTCTTTAAAATGATTAGGAAAATCAGAAAAAATTCCTCCTCCTCCTCTTCCTCCTCCTCCTCCTTCCTCCTTTTCCTCCTCCCCCTTTCTCATCCCCCTCCTCCTCCCCTTAAACCTCTTCTTCCCCCCTTCCCCCCTCCTCCTTCCTCTTCTTCCTTCTGTTGCTCCTCTTCTTCCTCCCCTTCCTCCCCTCTTCCCCCTTCCCCTCCTCCTCCTCTTCCTCCTCCTTTTGATTCCAGTCCCTGGAGCTTGTATTATGGCCTTGGCACTAGCCGAGAGCTTTTTTGTTCAAAATTAGTGCTCTACTGCTTGAGCCACAGCTCCACTTCTGGCCTTCATGTAGCTTTTGGAGATAAGAGTTCAAAGACTTTTCTGCCCAGGCTGGCTTCGAATGGCAATCCTCAAATCTAAGCCTCCCAAGTAGTAAAGATTCCAGGCATGGCCCACGGTACCCAGCAATTCAAGTTACAAACAACCATTTTTTTTGTAATGGAGGGTGATTCAGAACTCACCATCAGATTTCAATGTTCCCCAGCCAGTGACTACCACATCTGAATTGGGTGGGAATGTGTGATTAGTTTCAGGAAGACATACTCTTCGAATATTACTTGTGTACAATACTGGTGAAGACAGACGCACAACAGCAATGTCATGATCGTGTGCAGGGTAATGGTAATTTTCATGAATTATAATATCCTTGACAGCTCTTTGTGTTCGTTGATCACTCAAAAGAAGCCCAAAAGTAACATTCCATTCTTTGGGATCATTGGCACTAAAGAGAATAAATGTACTTATTAAAAATCCTCTATATTGGAGTTATAGAAATCAATTTCTTAGCATTTAAAAATAGTTATATTTGAATTCCTGTAGCATTTGTCAGTGCTCATAATAAAGCTGTGTGTAACAGAAAATAATAAAAAATGTTATCATGAACAAGCAAAATAAGCTCTGCTGAGAAAGATATCTGATGGAAAGTATATTTTATTTCTTGGTTTCAACAGAGAATACTAAAGGGGATTTGGTAAGATTCATATGACAAACATAAAGTAGATTAAATAAGAATCAGACACAGATAGGAAAATTTAAAGAAAGAGCCTATTTATTTGTTTTAATCTTTGAAAAGAATGGGGGAAATACTTTGGAATTTATTATTTATTATTTAAAGATTTGTACATGTAGTACTGAAAAATAGTGCTGCTAGAAAAATTCATACTTTCTACTAATATGATATAGTCAAGTGAGATTTTAGAGAGAAAAACAATGGAATTAATGAAGATAACCATTATAAATTATTAAAAAGTATTTTAAGCAAAATGGAGCAAATGTTGAGTGTGAAAATAAATCCTTTAAAAACATTATCACTTCAGCTAGACATGTTGGCATATGCTAGCGGTCTTAGCACTCAGGAGACAAGAACAGAATAGTTTGGAATACATAGAGAATTCAAGGTCATCTGGGAAAAGATGACTTTGTCTCAAAAAATGAAGCTTCTGTGTGTGTGTGTGTGTGTGTGTGTGTGTGTGTGTGTGTGTGTGTGAGAAGAGGTTGAGATTAGTGATCACAAAGCATCATTTTAAATAGGGCTGAACATGTGTGGGTGGATGCAAAACGGATTCAGTTACTTATAAATAAACGGACCGTAATAATGTGAGAAAGACATAGAAAATAGTGTTTAATTTGAGATTTAAAGTTTTTAGATAATATTCAAGTACATGACTCTAAACTAATAGTTCTCAATTAGGTCATTTTTGTCCTCCCACATTTGGCATTATTTGAAGAAAACTTGGCTGTCGATAGTGAGAAAGGTTCATGGTGAGTGAGGGCAGGAATACTGTCAAATATTTCACAGCTTTCCACAACAGAGAGTTACTTATCTGGTCCTGTAGTACCACTCTTGACAAACCATGCTCTAGACTGACTATATGGCCTGCTTTGCTTATTAATCAGTAAGTAATTTTGAGGTGATATGTGACAATATATTCAGCAGTTGGAAGCATAGTTATATAGCCATATTGCTAACAGATACTAGATTGAGCACTGTGTGCCTTTGAGAGCTTACTTTATGAAACAATGAGCAGCAGTGACAAGCCAGCTGTTGCTAATGAGTGTGGCTCCACATCGGTGGATATGATTTTGCTGAAGACTAGCTTGCCAGGGCCATTCTCCTTCCTCTGCATTCTGCCCGCCTGCAATTTTATTGCCAGAAGGAGTGATTGTGCGCTGTCCACAACCTGTTCAAAATAGAGTTCATTGGTATGAATATTTCTTTGTGTGCATATTAATATAGTAAACAGACACCCTATAATTCTGTATGTGACCCTATAAACTCTGAACTGAGGAAAATCTCATAGTCTTAGAGAAGTTAGGATAGATTTATTATGAAATGAGATTTCCTGAGAGTTCATTCAAAATATATTGACATTTTACTCTAAACCTATCATTCACCTATACTCTATGTCTCTGTTCTTACTATAAAATAATTTAAGGGATAGGAGAATTGTAGGTTATATTTCAAAAGATGGTAACTGTGTATGATACTGAGTTACCCAGGGAAATGTCTTTTAAAAAAATGTGAAGCCCTTGTAAAGCAGTGAGTGCTACGAAAATCTTGAGGTGAAAGTGTGAGTGAACATGAAACTGAATGAGAACTGTCAACAGTGTAGAAAGAAATGGGGTCCACTCCAGTCACAATATCTGGATAAAAGAAACGACACAAATCAAATGGTTTCTGAAGTTATGTGATTCTATCAGTTTGGACTGTGTGTTTTATGTCTGTTTAGACTCAGAAAATGTGCTGGGGCTGGAAAGGTGGCTCAGTGGTAGAGTGCTTGCCTTGCATGCATGAGGCCCTGGGTTCAATTCCTCAGCATTACATAAGCAGAAAAAAAAAGGCAGAAGTGGCGCTGTGACTCAACTGGTAGAATGGTAGCCTTGAGGTGAAGAGCTGAGGGACAGCGCCCAGGCCCAGAGTTCAGGCCCCACGACAGGACCCCTCCCCTGCCAAAAAAGAAAATGTGCTGGACTTTAAAGTCCACACTAACTATGCAACTTGATTCTCTCCTTTTTCCTCTGATTACCTTGACTGACCTAGCTTTATTTAGATTAAAGCACCTACTTTGTCTCTTATGGTACCTTTTAACTACAGCAGAAACCCTGTCTTCAGGACCTACTACTGAGAACATATTACACATGACTCATACAGAGACAGTTTTGTACATCATCTCTACAGGAAATACTTGGCAATGTTGGAAACTTTTTTACTATCAAATTTAGGTGTGGAGGAGGCTACTGTTATCCATTAAGAAAGTTCAGGGATGCTGCTAAATATCATATAATATGAGAGCTGCTGAAACAAAATGATCTAGCCTCAACTAAATAGTGTTCAAAGAATGAGGCACCTTGTATTAGAAAGTGAGAATATATAAGTAAGTTACAAAATTAGATAGTCAGTGGCATCATATGTCACAGGAATGTTAGTTACATATGTTTTGATACACTTAATGGTATTCTTTCCTGAGGGTGGAGAAGCATTAGAAGTCATACACACTAAAGTCTTGAAACTGGACATTAGGCTTATACATTTTTTTTTGTTGTTGTTGTTGGTGGTGGTTGTGTGGCTTGAGCTCTGGGCCTGGGCACTGTACTTCAGCTCTTCTTCTAGCATTCTACCACTTGAGCCACATTGCCACTTCCAGTTTTCTGGTGGTTAAGAGTCTCACTGAGTTTCCTGCCCAGGCTGGCTTTGAACTGCAATCTGAGGATTTCAGCTTCCTGAGTAGCTAGGATTACAGGCTTGAGCCACCGGCGCCTGGCTAGGTTTATACATTGTTTTTAACTTTATATTATTTTCGAGTCACCCAAATCTCTGGATGTTAAAGCTGAATTACAGCCTTTGTGGCTACTAATACTGATGAGAGCTCTTACCGTGACTCATTGAATATAACTCCCTTTCTTTTCTTTTTTCCCTCCCTTACCAAGGATAAAACAATCCACAGCGTAGAAGTTTCCTCCCTATCCTCCCTCCTACCTGGGCAACTCCTATAGGAAGTTGGCCTTTACCCAACTTCCTTCAGAGCAATATAAAAACAAAAATGCTTCTCTATGGGATAGAAATTTCCCCTAGGCAACTTGACTTCACTGTTTCAGCACTTACTCAGAATTCTCACTTAATTTCTACCCTTGGGTTAACTTCTAAGTTCTCATTTACTCATGATGGTAGTGTTGGTTAAGCTTGTAGTCACCACTTCTGTGATAGTTTGTTGTTGTTACATCAGTGGAAATGCTATATAGCACCCCATAGCTTACTTACACCAAAAGAAATTATGTGGTAAATTTCAGTAATTTAAAGAATATAATGAAGGTTGCTTGTTGACACTTTTCAGAAACATTGACCAGAGCTATAGAACTCTCATAGCCTTTCTGCCCTTATTATTTATCTACACTCCATTTTCATGTACTTTATTGTGCCACACAAAACTCTATTTTTCTAACTTTGTTTTTCTTGCCTAACTTGCTTTTTTGTGGTGGTATTAGGGATTGAATTTAAGGCTTTGCACTTGCCAGGCAGATGCTCTCCCAATGGAGCCACTCTCCAATCCCTTATTTTCAAGATATAGTTTCACTTTATGCATGCTGTAGTCTGGATTATGTTTCTCCTACTTGTGCTTCCAGTGTCACTGGGGCTGACAGGCATGTACCACCATTGTGCTTCCCCCTAACAGATGTGTGCCACTGAGCTCAGCTATTAGTCTTGAAAACTTTTATGCCCAAGCTGGCCTTAAACAAAATTCCTCTGAGCTCAGTCTCTAAGTTAGCTAGGATATCAGGCCTGAGTCACCACACTCCAGGCCCCTTGTTTTTTTTTTCACTTAAAATATTATCAGACTCAATCATAGGCGAATTCTGAATTCTTGATATAAAGGATTGTTCAGTATTCAGGCTGAGTAAATATACAAGTCTATGATTTTTTTCTCATCCCTGACCTTATGCCTGTTTTTAAGTATCTGCTATGACCCAGATTTGTAATTATTGTGTTTTTACAAGTATTAGATATTCTTTGGAATAATTCACATTAAAATACCATTAAGTTGCTTGAGAATTGGTTCAGTTGAAATCTATGAGAGAGAAAAATAATGTAAAACAGCTTTGTGTTTGTTTTGCCCAGGTATCTTCAGCATAATTATGCTGTGATCCAGGTTGAGTAAGAATGAGTGGAGTCAGTGTCTCCTGTCTCTGGAAGAGCCATTGAATCCAGTTGTCACAATCATTCTCCTTACCACTGGCTCTATTCCCAGTAATCTAGGGGATCCTATTTCCAGGACAGGTGGTAGGAAAGTGGCAGCACAATGCCTTGCATAGAAAGGAAGACCCTTTTTTCATAATGGACAGTTTTCTTCTCTACTGTTTTCAAGATCTCTGCTAGGATTAGAATTCCACTCAGTTGGTAGGCCCATATTATTTATAAGTAACAGAAAATATATAGAAAATATAAATGACTGGTACCAACTATGTGCTTACTGTGTGCCCTACCTTCACAGCAATTTGAAGTGAGGCTTTGGGAAGTTAAATATATGTATGTAAATTTATTCAGTTAGTGTGTGCTAGATCTCACACACCTGAATCAAAACTCACTTGCATCTGATTATACTTTTTAGGTTCTGTGCTAGCCCTTCCTGCCTTTAGGTCTTCTCTGCCATCATAGTATGTGGTAATGAGTTCCACATTTTAAATTCAGGATATCAGAGAAGTTAAGGTCAATTGAGGTAAGCATCATACAAGTTTCTCAAAATAGCCTTTATGAATATCACACAGAGTGCCAAGTGGAAGTCTTTTTTGGCATTCAAGGAAAATAGAGTTCTTTGTTGGTGAACTTACATGTATGGAGAAGATTTTCTGCTATTGGCATCGCAATGTCTAAAAGACAAGGGAGAGGAAAATTAAAATAGCTACATTTTATAAATAGGTTACATTAATATTGACAGTAATTATTTCATTTTTACAAATGTTTTATAGCCAGAATGTTTTTATTTTATCTTGGGTATACATTTGTACATTCATAAGTTAGTGCAGAAAGTAATAAAATCCTTGAATTCATTCTTCTATTTATTCCTTAGACGACTCAAGTTCCTAATTGTCAGTTATTTGAAAAAGAAGAGTGATTGTCAACAGTAACTGAAATATACGAGAAATATTGACAGTATGTTGTACCTTAACAAATAATGCTAGTAATAGGACAAAAACACTTAAATTGTTATATTTTGGGTGTGTGTGTGTGTGTGTGTGTGTACAAATGCGTCTTCCTCTATGTGTAGTCCTATTAGTACTGTTTGTGGATTAGGTTTCAATTATTTGGTGCCTCCCATGTCCCATTCTTTTGGGATTAAGAAGAATGTAATTCAGCAATGAGGCAGACTTGAATATTATCAACTCTTTCCTAGATAGATATATCACTTTAGGGAATATTATAGAATGAAATCATTTATACATATAATTTTGCTATGTACTGTATATACTATGCCTGTGGTCTTTAAACTTTTTGAATTCATGTGAAAAATATATGAAAAAGGAGACAAACCAATGAGTCATACTCTAAATTTTAGACACACTGTAAACTCACTAGCTCTTTGTATTTTAAGAGTTGTTCAATAAAGCATCATTGGGTGTTGTATGAATTGCAAATTATAAATGTCAATGCAGGTTTATTTTTTAATATGCTCTTTGACTTCAATAAGTCTAGGAAGGAGTATCCAGCTGTACATGCCTATTATAGTTACACACTCTTAGATTAGGTTGCACAATAAAATCTGAGAGACAATAAAAATCCTTCACCAGAAAGTCTACCTGTCTAAACAAAAAGACAAGAATCATTCAGCAGCCAGTTGGGCTGAAAAGGTATGAGACACACCTATTTGAACAGAAAGCGGGTATAGTTTCATCCTATTCTTCACAGATTCCTTCCAGAAGCTTTTTGTTTGTTTTGAAGATTTTAGATTTTCAAGTTGAAGATTTTATGCTTGATGCAATATACTAAATTGGGGGATAGAGGCATGGCTCAAATAGTAGAGAGCATATGAGAAGGCTTCAGATCAATACCCAGTACAGCAAAGCTAAAAAGATGTGTGTATACATATGTATGTTTATAGGTGTGTCTATCTATCTATCTCTATATATAGATGAGTGGGTAGCAGACTAGCTGCCATGAATAGGAAGATGACTTATACCATCATCCTTTTGGGCTTAACCCTGATTTCACTGTTGGGTTTCCTGCCTTTTAAGTCCCTTGGCTCAGGCTGGAACACCTGTAGGTTTACCCCTGAATCAAGAATTCAGTAGTACAATCCCAAGATACATAGTTCCTGCTATACCACATGAAGGAAGAAATAGAAGACAATGGCATAGGAAATAAAGGATAGCAAGAAGGCTGAGCATGGTGGCACACACCTATAATTCTAACACTGAGGAAGCTGAGCTATAAAGATGTTTAGTTTCATGCAATCCCATTTGTCCAACCTTTCTTTGATTTGTTGTGTTTCTGGGTCTCTATTAAGAAAATTTCAGCCTGAGCCAAGGAGACCTATGGTTTCTCCTATTCCATCCTGTGATGTTTTCAGGGTGTCTGCTTTGACTCCGAGGTCTTTGATCCATTTAGAGTTGATTCTGGTGCAGGGTGATATATAAGGATCTAGTTTTAGTTTTCTGCAAGTAGTTAACCAATTTTGCCAGAACCATTTACTGAAGAGGCTGTCTTTCTTCCATTCTATTTTTTTAGCTCCCTTATCGAAAATTAGATGGCTATAGGTCTCTAGGTTCATTTCTGGGTTTTCAATTCTACTCCATTGGTCCAGAGGTCTGTTCTTGTGCCAGTACCAAGCTGTTTTGATTACTATGGCTTTGTAGTAGAGTTTGAAATTTGGTATTGATATTCCTCCAGCAGTGTTCTTTCTGTTGAGGATCGTTTTAGCTATTCGGGGTCTTTTATTGTTCCATATGAATTTTTAGACTGCCTCTTCTATTTCCTTGAAGAATGAGGATGGAATATTGATAGGTATCGCATTGAATTTGTAGATAGCCTTTGGAAGTATTGCCATTTTCACGATGTTGGTCTTTCCAATCCAGGAGCATGGGAGTTTTTGCCACTTTCTAAGAAATTTCAGAGCTTCTGCATGGCAAAGGACATAGCTAGCAAGATTAATAGAAAGCCCACGGATTGGGAGAAGATTTCACTAGCTTTACAACAGACAAAGGTCTCATATCTAAAATATACCTGGAACTCAAAAAATTAAATCCCCCAACAACAAATCTTCAAAGAAACAACTTCCCAATAAATAAGTGGGCTAAAGACTTAAAGAGAAACATCTCTGAAGAGGAAAGAAGGATGGCCATTAGACACACGAAGAAATGCTCAACCTCCCTAGCCATAAAAGAAATGCAAATCAAAACGACATTGAGATACCACCTTACCCCAGTTAGAATGGCTATAATCAAGAACTCTAATAACAACAGATGCTGGAGGGGATGTGGACAGAAGGGAACCTTACTGCATTGTTGGTGGGAGTGTAAACTTGTTCAACCACTTTGGAAAGCAGTATGGAGGTTTCTCAAAAGACTCCACATACAGCTCCCCTATGACCCAGCAATCCCACTTTTGGACATTTACCCAAATGATCACAATCAAGACCACACTAAAGCTACCAGCACGACTATGTTTATTGCAGCATTATTTACCATAGCTAAGATATGGAACCAACCCAGATGCCCCTCAGTAGATGAATGGATCAAGAAAATGTGATATATATAGACAATGGAATTGTATGCCTCCATCAGAAACAATGACATTGCCCCATTTGTTAAGAAATGGAAAGACTTGGAAAAAATTATATTAAGTGAAGTAAGCCAGGCCCATGGTTTCCCTTGTTTGCAATAACTATTATATGTCTGAGACAAACAGAAACGGTCAGTTAAGTTGATGTTAGGGAAATGAACCCTAAGATATGTATTCAAATGTTTTTTTTTCTTTCAGGTGATTGTTTCTAACACATTTATAAGATTATTTCTTTGTTGCTTTGTATCTCCCTCACCCATGGTATAACCCCTGCTTTCACTGTATTTGATGTTGGTATAATTTGTGCAGGGGAAAGGAAAAAACAAATCGTTTAACTACGGATACAGGTGGATACATTGAAGCAATGAGATGTACAAGTAGTTATGTCGAAAAACGAACTTTACAACTTTGGTTTGGGGGGAGGAGGATTAGTTGGGAAGGTGGGGGGAGGATGGGAAGGGATGGGAAGGGGAAACAAAGGAGGAGGCTACAATGCTTGATAAGAAATGTACTCATTATCTTGCCCATGTAATTGTAACCCCTCTGTACAGTATTACCCAATAAAAAAAGAGAGATATTTAGTTTGATGTGAGTCTGGGCTACATAGTGATAACCTGTCTTAAGAAAGCAGGAGTGGATAATAAGAAAAAAACACACAAAAAACCCAGCTCAGCCAGGCGCTCGTGGTTCACGCCTGTAATGCTAGCTACTCAGGAGGCTGAGACCTGAGGATCATAGTTCAAAACCAGCCTGGGCAGGAAAGTCTGTGAGACTCATATCTCCAATTAACCACCAGAATACTGGAAGTGGCACTGTGACTCACTTGGTAAAGCACTGGTCTTGAGCTGAAGAGCGCAGGGACAGTGCCCAGGCCCAGAGTTCAAGCCCCACAACTGACAAAAAACAAAAAGCAAAACCAAAAAAAAGCTCAGCAAATGCGTATTGCTTTTCTTTTAGCGGATGTATCAATGATTAGACATGTATACGCCCTCAGTACATTTAGAGGTTGGCAGACAAGAAACATAGCCCAATGGATAATTGAAATCAATGTGATAAATGGTATCATAGAAGAATGCATAACAAATTGCACAACCAAAGAAAAGCATTTAGCATAAAGATAAAAGAACTCAAATGCTGATAACAAATATACCTTTGAGAGAGAGTCAAAACATTTATTTACATACAAAGTAGACATCATTCACAGTCTATGAAATATTGGATTGGAAAACAATGCTAAATCTTGTAAGGTCTGTGGTGTAGCAGGTCCATGACTAGAGCTTGGAAATAAGAAATGCAACCTTGGATGTAGTTGTAAGAATGAGTGCTCTCCCAAAAGTCTGATTTCAAGCTAACTTCAAGCTGACATTTTTTTTTCTTTGAAAGTAAAAATCTGAAACAATGACAATTAAGCTATACTATTCTAAGAATAGGGAAGAACTTAACAGTAGTGTTGATTTATTTATCACACAAATTTTGCTTATATTTATAGGCTTATCTGCATTTAGGTAAATTTATTTCTTTGTGTGAGTCCAAATGCTAAATTTGTTGATTAATTGTACTTCTCATAGGGTTTTCTTAGCGTTCTAATATGAAAGAATATAGAAGAATTCAGTTTCATTCTCTTACAGAACATAAAAGACATTTAAAGGGTTCCACAGGTAGACTTCTGAAAAGAAAAATCCTGAAGCACAGAAATCCTCTTCCTCCATAAGTCTTTATTCATGATGTTTTCATGAATTGAAAAAAAAATTCCCCTGGAGCATAGTATGGTTGGTCTGCATGAAGAAGCACAGGAACAGAGCTGGCTCTAAATTCTGGTTGCACAAAATCTGAATCTTTCACTCATTTCAGGTTTTGTTTAGTCAGCTAACTGAATATTTGCCCTCACTAAATGCATTTATTTGTATTTCTTATTGCATGGAAAATGTCCTTGTGGTTAGTCATGAATTACATATCATTTGTCATTTCTTAGTGTGCTGGAGGTTAGTTTTTAATAGCATACACCTTTAGTTACTACTTCGAAAGAGAAAAGCGTAACATTTATATTAGGTCAATGTAAATGAATGATGAGTTGTGAGCACAGATGGTAGTT